TGGATCACCAGGAGCGGCTGGTGACCCCCGGAGCAAACAAGACGCTCCACTCTGTCCTTCACATGCCGGATGCGTGCGCCCAGCAGGCAGCAAACCTCCCTTGTCTCCAGGTTGGGGCGGCACACCGCCGGCTCAGTGCCCCTCAGCAGGGAGTCCCCAACAACAATCACCCGCCGCCGTACCTTCCCGGTGCTGGTGGGCGGCCATGCCCTGGCCCTCGCCTCTCCCACAGCGGCCCCCTTGCCGCCTGACATCCCAGGCTGGGGGTCCTGCTGGTCCCCCGAGGCCTCATCAGCCCCAGCCTCCCCAAGTGGAGAGAACCTGTTTCCCAGCTCCAGATTGGTGCCAGGAGGAGGAGGCGGCGGCCATGCTGGCCTCCTCCTCCTGTGGGTGACATGCCTCCATGTCTCTGGGGCTGCTCCTCCCGTGGCCTCTCCCTCAACCTCTGTCCAGAGGGGGGCTGCTCTGGGGGTGCCTGGAGAGCTCTCTCGGCCCTCAGGCACTTCACCTCCTCCTCTAGCAGGGTCACCAGCTTGCACCGAGGACAAGTGTATCCCTGCCTCTCCCGGGGGAGAAGGGCGAACATGTGGCAGCTGTCACAGCGGACGGCAACACCCGTGGCTCCCGCCAAGGCCATCTCCTGGCCTGCCATCGGGATCCCTTCCGAGACCTTGCCTTGGTCCCCTGCCTTGTCTGTCCTGCAGTTCCTCTCACTCGCCCAGTTCTCCCAGATGAAAACCCACTCGCACACACACACAAGGATAAAATAAATTTAAACTGGAAGAAAAACACAGCACAGCACAATCAATCAAACCTCTGTGTCTCAGGGAAGGGAGTCTCCAGGCAGCCTGGGCCGCAGCAAAGGGACGCAGACAAGGGACCCCCCCCACCCCCCTGCTCCCTCCTGGCCCTGCCCCCTTCCTCTCCGCTGCTCCTGGCCCTCTGCCACGCTCCTGCCTTGCCTTCGCCAGTCCCCTGGCCGCTCAGCGCCTCTGCTGCTCTGCCAAGCGGCCAGAGCCCAAAGCAGGCAACACAACACCCCCGCCCCCCCATGCACGTGCGTGCAGCCATAGACACGAATGCAGAGGAGCGCATTACATGTGCAAGTACAGAGAGACCTGGAAGGAGAGGGAAGGCGCCTGTAATACTTCTTCAAATATGTGAACGGCAAAGGCGGTCCTGACAGGAGCACCTCGAAGCACACACAGCAAGTGCGGGATGGTCTTTTCTCCTTTGCAATGGATGTCAGACCCAGCACCTGTCGAGACCCTGCTGCCGCAAAAGCAGCCAAGGCCAGAGCCCAGCAGGTCTGGTTCTGTCTCGGCAGGCTCACTGCAAGGATGGGTGCTTCCGCATCGAGGCTGCTGGCACCATCAGCAGACTGTGCAGCCACTTCGTACTTTCCTGCTTAATAGATTTGTTATGGTAAGAAAGGAAGCAATGGGGAAAACACGGTTAGTCGCGAAGTCATGCCCAACCCATCACGACCCCATGGACAGCATTCCTCCAGGCTCTCCTGTCCTCCGCCATCCCTCCAAGTCCACCCAAGCCCACACCCACCGCCCCAGTGACCCCATCCATCCATCCATCCATCTTTATTGATACATACATACATACAAGCATTTATATCCCATCCTTCCGCCAAGCGCTCAAGTCGGCTTACAAAATATAAAAGTACAAAGTAAAACCCCATCCAGCCCCCTCATCCTCTGCCGTCCCTTCTTCTCTTGCCATCAATCGTTCCCAGCATCAGGGTCTTCTCCAGGGAGTCCTTCCTTCTCATTAGGTGGCCAAAGTATTTGAGTTTCAGTATCTGGCCTTCTCAAGAGCAGCCAGGGTTGATCTCCTCTCGGACTGACCGGTTTGATCGCCTTGTGGTCTAAGGGACTCGCAGGAGTTTCCTCCAGCACCACAATTCAAAGGCTGCAATTCTTCAGTGCTCAGCCTTCCTTGTGGTCCAACTTTCACAGCCATACATTGCAACTGGAAAAACCATAGCCTTGATAAGAACTTTGGAAAAAACATAGGCAGGTACAAATTGAAGCTAACATGGAGATTCCCCTGTAAAATAAGGAAAACAGGTCAGAACAACTCAACTGCAAGTGCCCCATAGCTCCCTCATTACAGAAACATACAACAATCATACCGAACGTTTTGCTTCCAAGCATCAGTCTCTCTAAGATGAAGCAAAGACAGAAAGGCCAGCTAGGAAGTTTGGTATTTTTGTACTCAGTTTGACCTCAGCTCTCCACCACCTTGGTCTAATAGCCCTTCAGTGCTCATCTGCATCTGACGTTACCGAGACCTCTCTGCCTGGCTATTATGCCTTAACCATTTTTTGCTTTCAGTGGCCTGCTCTCTCCTGCTGATTATGATTCTCAAAACTCAATGGTTCCCGTTTAATTTTTTTTTTAGGCAATGTTTACAAGTTCCAGACTGGTTCAAGGTTTCACGCAATACTGTGGCACAAACATTTGGACGATGCATGCAGAAGCACCAGGCCTCAGGTAAGTTTCTTCTACTTGTAGTAAAAAGATACCCACCTAAAGTCGTTTCTTATGGGGCTAGTGACTGCAACACTACCTGGCAAATACTGACTAGATGCATCCTTCTGCAGATCTGTCAAATAACACATTATTTCTTTGCAAATCTCTGTCAAATAACATATTATGATCTTGTGGTGCTGATATATGTTTTGGAATTAAAACACACAGAGTGATTACTTATTTGCATTTGATTTCTGTACTGCCACACAGCCAAAGACTTGGATTCTCATCCATCTTGGATATTGCTAGAACAAGAATCCATGTTACTTCTTAGCTTAGTTTAAACTAGAAATTAACATGGTGAGGATCAGAACTTTGCTGTGCAGCAGCACACATCCAATCTTAATTTATTTTGCTACACAGTAAATGCAGCTTCACATCTTAAGGTTCCTGTACCTTTGAACCCAGTCAGGTCCCTATATTGAAGGGATGCCAAAGCATCACGTAGCTCAATGGGACAGGAAATCACTGCAGGTCTTGTAGCTTGAGCCTGTATTGGGGGTGTGAGAACAGACTAGAAGGGCAAGCGCTCAAGAAGAAAAGGAGTATCGGTCTCAGATCGTCAAATGGCAATGGTAACACAGCTTTTGCTGACTCTGCGAGTGCCTGCATGCTCTTCAGAAGGGGACGTGGGATTCCCAGCATCTCAGGAACTGTTCATTGTGTTGTTTTTGTTTTCCTTTTCCCTGCCAGGTACCTGCAAACCTTATGTCATTCGAATAACATGCTTCAGTATGTGTAACTTCAAGTGCCAAACTGCAGGAAGGGAATTTGGTTCCCACAGGAGAACGAAGAAAGGAGACTCCAGAGTGAGCCAGCTAGCTGTCTGTAACAGCAACTTCAGCACTTTTCTATGTAACTTGAAAGTAATTATGACACAGCTTCTTAAAGCAGAAAATGAATGTTGTCCTTAGGACAGTCGCTAACCCAATGCACTGACGAGAGAGTTGATTTAAACTGATCAAAGATACCGCCTGCTCTGCGCAGGATCCTTGAGTCCTTGACTTTAGCTTCTGTGGTCACAGACTGCTGTGGATTTCTGTTCTACCACGAAACTGTGCATCACATCTTCTGCGGATTCTTTCTTTTTTTTTACTGCTCTTTTTATTGTTGAGCTGCTTTATGTGACTGAAGAACATTTAGCCCATGTTGGGTTTTCAATTATTTCTAATGCACAAAACAATTGACAGTGTTAACTTGCTGCAAAGTGTCAATTAGAATAGGACATTGTGGAACAACCTTTTTATAACCGTAAGTGCACTGAGTTGCTTGGCAATGCGGCTGCCTCAGATTTTATATCAACCTTAGGGACAAGACTGATGTTCATGCCTGAGCTGTCTGGGAAATATGTATTTTGGCACGAGAAAAACCACCTGTAAAGTTAGCGTTCATTTCGTGTAATTGGTTGTGCTGCATTGTTTTTATCAGCTTGAGGTACCCAGGCAAACTGAAGGGTCTATTGCTGCTGAAATTCACTTAGTGTTAAGGGTCCTCCTGGGTTCCTTCACTGCAAACGAAACATCTGCCTTAAATTATTTTGCTTGCTCTTTTTTTAACTATGGGTGCTATTCATCAGAAACATCTTGCTGTGCAAGGGGTGCTGCGCCCACGGAGCTGCTTCCAGGCTAGAGGGCCTCTGGAAGAGTTCTGCTGTGGAGGGGCGTATTTCCCCCACCCCGTTTCTCCTGCTGAGGAAGCTGTCGCTAAACCCTAAACATTTACTGCCCCTTCTCTTTAGCAAAAGGTCATTATTCAGGTTCCACTAAGCAAGGAAAGAACCCTGCAGCTGTTGGCCCCTTCCGGATAACCGAACGAAGACCCTTGGGCAAGCAGCGAGGGCTTTCCTCTCAGAACGGAGGCGGCTGGGGCAGCACTTGCCCCACGGGGAGCCAGCAGCCCTGGAACAGTCACACTGCCTACTGATCTGCCTGGACCTTGACCACGTTTGAACCCGTTTTTATGTTGAATACCTTTCTTTAATGTTCAGCATCTTGATGGTTGACTGTAATGTCTGAGTTGCCCTGTCAATGTGTGTGTCATAGTCCCAAAAGTGAAATCAACTATGAAACCCACTCTCGCCCAAAAGAATCTGGCTGGCTCCCTAGCAGGGCCTTGGGCAGCCTTCTAGCCGGGCACCATTTTTACTTGGCTCGCGGCTGGTTGCCACTCAACCCAAAAGCTAACTCCATGTTAGGATGGTGGTAATGGAGCACCTGTTGCCCAAGAAGAAACGCCACTGTGGGGAAATAAAATCAGCTTCCTGGTGCATTGTCACCTCCTAATACTGTATTTAGGACACAATTCTGCATGGTTCTCCTGCACACGTGTGCATTATTGCAGATAAAGCACCTCTAGGTTTTCATGACAGTAATTAAAAGTCCAGGCTCCAGTCCTACAGGCTGAGGCCAGGGGAAAATGCCACCTTCTTATATTAGGAACCGAAGCTTATCTAGCCATGTCTCCTCCTCCAAAATGTTCTGGATTTAAGCCAGAATACACTATGACATCATGGGGAACTCTGCGGCCCTGTTTACCCTTGTGTTAAATCAAACCCTCCTCACTGTTAACAGTATATTCCTGAATTTCATCTTGTAAAAGTTTTGAGGAAGAAAAATGGATACGAGCACCCACCTGAGAAACAGTGCAAGAAATTGGCCTTGCCATCCTGCGAATAACCTGTCACACACAAGAAGTTACAATGCAGTTAATTGAGTGACTTGTCCATAAACTGCCTGAAAGATCTAACAGTCGTGTTCAGGTACCTCATCATACTTGGATGGAAGAGAACCATCTGTGCAGGACATTTAGATCTCAGTTGTGTAGCGGTTAAAATACACATTGGCTAGAGTACACAATTCTAGTTCCTCCCACATTACATAAAATAAATTCGAACTGCCTGGGATGAATTCCAAAATACAAACGAAGATTGACCAAGAATCTTGGGGCTTGTGGTTAATGTTTGCACACAGGAACATTCAAATCTTGCAACAGATGCCCTAAACTTACCTGCTGATCATGGGTCACTGCAGCAACGGCCATAGTTCGATTGTTATTAGGTATCTCTGCTAGGACCGATGCAGCCACCCACCATGACGGAGGCAACTGATAAGCAGACCCGCCACAAGGCCAGTCCCTCTGAATAAGGATGTGTAGTATTTAGCTATCAAACACTTTCAAAACAAGGGCTCACACAAAGCAAATCTCTCTCTAGCTTTTATATTTTACTTCATGGAGAAACAAGGAATTGGTAGTTTGGTCTTCAAAAAAAAAAAAATGACTGTGTCAAGAGAAAAATGCCTCCCAAACCTCACCAGCCTCCATTGATTTTCATCACTCTCCTAAACCAAAAAAAGAAGAGAAAATCTGGACTGGAAATCAGCAGGGGCCTTGGTATGACACTGCATGAATGAAAAGAACAACTTGTTACGGGGACGCCCAAGTGGAGAAGTATTGCTTTGTGTAAGGAATGAAACTTGCATGCATCTGCAGAAGGAAGAAAATCTGTTGGAATTAAGCTACTTGAAAGTCTCTCGGCTAATCCGCATTTGGAATGTTTTGGGTTTCTTTAAAGAACCCGTGATACAAAACGGCTGACTGTGATTTTTCTTTGTTGTGTAGATAGTATTGCATCTGATGGACATGGAAAATTGTACAATAATGACGTGTGTGATGATGGAGTAGGACGGTGCAGTATTCAGCAATGCAGGCAGCTCTTGCTGCACAGTGTTTCAGAAGATGAAGAAAGTGATAGAACAGTATATGGATATTGTTGTTAGCATAATCCACATTTAAATGGTTCTTGTCCTATAAAAGCATGAAGGTCTACTTAGCTACTGATTTTTAGTGCACATTTTACTGTGAATAAAACAATGCATATTGGTACTTTAAACATATTATTTTTGTCCGATCAGATACAGAGCCCATGCGCCTCCAATGGACATGTCTATCCCTAATGCACACAGAGCTCTTGCGCTCTCTACCAAACTTATTTCAGTGGTGGCAAGAGACCCACGTGCATGAAGACATGGTTCTCCGTATCAGCGTCTCCCCTGAAATGAGCTGGGGCGGCTGAGCTGAGGGGATCGCTCCACACCTGCACACGGAACAGGCAATGGGCCACGCGTCGCGCCCGAGGGTTGCACAAAGCGAAGGCTGCCTCTCCGCGCAGCCTTTTCGCGATGGGGTCCCTGTCGAATTATTTTCAGGATGACAATTCGCGTAGCGACATTGAGGCAATATTATTTATTTTTTAATTTATTAGTATGTGCGTAACTTACAAGTAAACTTAGTGCCAAAATGCATGTTTTTCTAATTAGGACTCAGTTGAGGCATAGACAATAGTATTCAAGTTTCAACCCATTCATCACATTGTGTTGTAAACCAATTTCTATATTTCAATTTATTTCTTGTGAGAACTGTTGCACTAATTTATTTGATTTTAATTTTAGCCGTATTTCAGCAGCCCACTGCATGCCATTTGTGTAATGCCTCTTTCTAAAAATTCTTGTGAATTGTCTCACTCATGATAACCACTGAACTGTTAACCTTGTGTGGGAGTCTTTTAGGTTTTTGGCAAAAGTATTTTGTTACCTCAGTCTTCTATCAGGTTGCTGTATTTTTCAGCTTGTTACATTGATAATAATTGTTTCACTAATTAAAAAAAACTTTACTGTAAAATAGGCCTCTTCCTTAGCACATCTGTTTTGTGGGGTGGCAAAAACCAGACCGCATTAAGAGCGGAGACTGGTGTAGGTTTTCATTCCAAGTTCCCCTTGGTGTGCAGAATCAACAGGTACCTACCTGGTCCACGAACTGGCAGGGGCCCTCTGCCGATGACATGCAGGACTTTCTGGCCCTGCTGGTCTTCATCCTCACGGCCACCGTCCTCCCTGAATGCGCAAACAGCAACGGGCAGCTGCAGCACTCATCTGCACTGTCCTAGGATTTTCCTGGATGGATTTGACCTCCGAGGAGGAAAGCAAGCAAACTGGCGGCTGTGATGGTAACCGGGAGGGGCTGCGTCCATCCAGCCTGGGAGCAGAACGAGTAAACAACCTTCCCACATGCTCCTTTAGCCATTCACACGGAGGTGCCAAGAAGCTGCCACTATCTTGCCCACAGCACTGTGCCCAGGGAACCTCCAGCAGACGTGTATTTTCGCCTTGGATAATCCTGCAGGAATAAAGGTGTTCCTATCTCATGGATCCCCTTACGAGCAACTTCTCAAATGAACTGTCTGAACACTCAGATAAGACCAGCCTGCAAGAGTCACATTTGATCTGTGAGCCATGTGAAGAGGAAGCTGAATAGCATGTGGACGAAACTATCTGGAGGCGGCAGAGGCTTCACCCCCGTCCCGCATTCTGTGTAACTTCTCTTTTAAATAAGAAAGATTATTTTCTCTTTATGGAAAGATAGAGGGGCATGTACCGGCCCTTTTTATACATTGGAGCTTTCAAGTGCTGGGTGATCCAGTTCGGACACAAGACTAGTAAAGACCCTAACCTCCTGGCAGCCTTGCTCTCAGCTTCTCTCGACACTCCCAGACCCCCTCGCCACATTAAGGTGTGCTTTCAAGAGAAGGCATGGATCTATTACATTGCATAAATACTGCATGCTGCTAATGGGGACTTCAGCCAAAAAGCCAAGGTCTTTTAAATAATACATGCAACCAATATATAAAGCAACATCGTCACTTCACAGATGGAGGCCTCCTAGCACTGTCATTTCAAAGAGATGGTGCAGTTATTCCATTCTTCCTTCTTCTACCAGCCCCATCCATCTCCCACCCCCAAGTAGGGGAGAAAGAGGAAGCGGTGAGAAAAACCGCTCAGGGCCTATGGGAATGGAGCAGTATATAAACATTAAGATAAACAAAATAAGAAGTCCTAAGCACTAAACAGAATGCAATGTCATCAGGATCACATGTAAAATTCTGTAAAGGAGGCTGTGTAATCTAAAACAAAAGCTGCAAATGGAGGCATCTTTGGTTTGCTTGCAAAGTAGCTGGCAGGGTTTCCCCAAGATTTCTTGGCAAACCTTTTGCACTCCAGAATTTCACACTATGAATTGCTCAGAAGGAACGTCATTGTTCTGACCAGTGACAAATTTCTTAACACCGATTAGTACATAAATCAGAAGACAAGGTTGCATCCTCCGGCAACAAGCATACAATAGTGGCCACACTTTTGTGTACGATAATCCCAAATCAGCCTCCTCCCAGCAGCTTCCTTCTAACACTTTAAAAGCACTCGGCTTGGCAGCTCACAACCCATTAGCTGCGACTACAACACAGAGCGGTGGTCTTTCGTATTCATCTTTTCCTTCTGCTTTGGTGCAACTTGATTTCTGCATGATATGCGACCGCACACCGGGGACCGAGCACAGGAGAGCTCCATGCCTGATGAGCACAATGCCTGAGGAGTATGCTTGCGAAAAGCTCGCTTCGTAGGACTTCAGCAGTTACACTGTGATCTTATTTCTGCATCTCCCACCTTTCCAAGAAGAGAAACACTTCACAGGTATGTATACAAGGATTCCATGTATTCATATTATGTGTCTCCTTCCTGTTTTAATCGTTTGATAGCCGATACCTCTCTAGGCATAATTATAGCTCTATAGGATCAACAAAGATAACGCTGTCTCTCTCAGCCCAAAGCCTCTGGATTAATTCCCTTGGTTCTGCACGCCAGGTAAAATAAGGTATTTAAGCATAAGACATGCAACTCATTCTGCTGCCTACACACATATACGCACAAATAAAAAGACAAACTGGCACAGCCAGCTTGCATTTTGCCTAATATATATTGATTAAAAATCACCAAGATTCAGAAATGATGAAATATGCCAGAGCATTTTAAAAACCCCTTCCATGCCCTTCAAAATAAAATACATAGTGCTTTACCTGAAAGAGGGTGTTTCTTCCACGCCATTTCAATGGCTGCTTAGAACTATATTGTATATATAGGCTAAATTAAACACTGGCTATTTCTTCTGGATTAAACTACAGTGTTTCTTATGACCTGCAGAAATACTGTATTGCCCAACAGTTACAGTGAAGTAATGTGGGTTGTAGCCAATGCTTTAGCAAGCAAATGTGATCCAAATCATTTGAATTACAAGAAGTGCCAAGTCTGCCTGTCACTCGCCCAGAAATGCACAATCTGAGTTTGGTAATGTTCAAATGAGATGCAAGCATTAGAAACTCTATTCTAGCTCTGATTATATTTAAGATATTCCAAGTGCACCAGGGATTGCTGGTGCCCTTGTCAGAATACATACATGAACAAAACTCTCAGCAAGCCCCTCTTACAAAACGTAAACCCTCCCTGAATCCTTCCAGGCTTTTATTCTGCCACCCAACTTGCTCCTTCCATTCTTTCGGTTCACACAAGAGAAACCTGTCGCTGATACGGATTTGTCAGTCACCTAGGCTGAAGAGCGGGCTAAGAAAATGTTAGCAAATAACAAATGCATCAATTCCAAGCAGAATATCAGTCGTAAGCAAGGTAAACGCCCACTCAAAAAGGTAAAAGTAGAAAACCCCTAATACAGAAAAAAACTGAAGAAGCGACTCTGCAAAGCGCTACTTCGCAACAGGGCGACTGAAGGCCAAAACTGAGTTTCGCTGTGCTTAAATACGCTCTTGGAAAAAGATCCTAATTTGAAACACATTTGCTATAATAAAATATATGGGGTTAGGGATTTGCTCTCCTCCTTTTTCAGAGAAACCCCCAAGACATAGGCTTTTCTTGATGGGCAAGGGAATACTTAATAGCTCTTTTTAAAAGCCTGAAAATCCCAAATTTATGTTGCTCTTTTCTTAGTTGAAGAACTATGCTTGAGATTCAATGTGGAAAATTGTTAAGGGCCAGAAAAATAGTAAGCCGACCAAAAAAAAAATCTCAAGCACCCTGTATTTCAAACCTTTTGTTATCCTACTGTAATAGCCTGATCAAACATTAACACAGAAACAGTGCTAAGTCTGTCTGTGACTCAGTCTCCAATCTTGTTTTTCTTTGATAACAAAACCCAACAGAAGTGGCACAAACTATGAATGAGCGGGTAAAGAAAAGCACATAACACCTTTCAGTTCAACTGCCACATCGTGAGCGGAGCCGGCTGGAGCTGGGGGTCAGACTAGATGGCCCAAGAGACCCCTTCTGACTCACTCTGTTTCTGTGTCTCATGAAAAATCAGGCCTGGACCGCTGCCACCTTTGCTATTTGCCCGTTCTTTCCTCCCTCACTGCACTTGATAAAGCAACCAGGGCCAAGAGCTGCCATATTAATGTCCCCAATGTTTCAAAGTCCTATTGGGGAGAATTAAAATGGCAGCCTTCAGGAATCATGTAAATCAGAGAAGTCTGGCAGAATGCAGTTTGGTCAGGACATGCTCAAACCTCCATGTCAAGAACCCACAACTTTAGAAACCACAAGACATCTGAAATATTGCCGTGGAATCTTGCTCGGCACAATCCACATTCTAATAGTTGAACTTAATTAATAGCCCTTAAATAAAAAAGAAGCTGCAAGATCTCAGAAGTATGAACAAACAAAATCTGGAGCAGAGAATCAGATAGCTCATGACAGCAACATATTTGATTTCTTCTTAGGGTATTTCAACAGTGTAGAACATGGGTCCTCAAACTACGGCCCACGGGACAGATCCAGCTCGCCAGGGCCATCCATCCAGCCCGCGCCCCAATTCGCTGCCCGCGTGCCGCTTGCTGCGCAGGCAGGGAGCTGGTGGCTCACTCACTCGGACACGGTCTCTGAGTGAGGAAGCCGCGGCCACCACCTACGTCCCGTACGCACGCACACACTTGCCGCTGCCTCGCAGCGCAGGGGGGAGAGGTGGTGGCTTGCTCGCTTGGAGATGGTTTTGGACTCACTGGAAGACCACTGAGCGAGCAAGCCACAGCCGTGCGCGCCCGATGCCACCTCGCACACGCCCAACGGCACCTCACCGGCCCACAACGGTCACGGCAGCCTTTCAACTGGTCCCCCATTGAAAAAGTTTGAGGACCGCAGGTGTAGAAGGTTGAACCTAAGTCACATACTACTCCAGATACAATGTGTGTTCCTATTTCTCCTTACTTTGTATCCCATGTTCACTGAAAATAAACCCTTATGCTCTTGCCCTCCATTTCCGTTTACCCGGGTACAGGGCAAGAAGGGCCCCTTAATTTCAGTGGTGCTTTTGTGATTAGGAGTCCGCCCTGAAAATCTAAAGCGTTTGCAGTGTTGTGACTTTGTCTGGATATTATGAATTGACAATACACACACATTATATCCCATGTGTACGGCTAACAGGTAGAAGACAGGAATTATCGAATTCCTTAGCCCCTGCCACAGGGGCATGTACCACGTTCAGTCCACCCTACCATACGCTTACTGGAATGGATGTGCCCTCTCTCTGTAGAAAGCAGAAAAGGAAATAAACAGCAACGGCATGAGCAAACAGGTTGGGATATAGAATACCAGATGAGTCAGCAAATTCCACAAACAAATACATTTAACAACCTTCAGGTTATGGGGAAGCATTGAAAACAAACAAATTTTGCAGCCAACAAATTGAAATGCAAGGAACAAAAGTCTATCTGGAATGAACAAACATGAAAATATTCACCATGTCTCACAAATGCCCCCACCCATTTGAACAAGAGAGACTGAGTG